TTCCTATTATTTCCAAAAAAAAAAAAAAAAAACAAAATAGAAATAAAAAAAAAATAGCAAGAGTTATAGAATAGGAAATGGATCCTCTAATGTGAAAAAAAACATGACATGGTCACGTGAGAAGATCACAATCATACAAAAGTAAATCAACGGTTATGATTTTGTAATTATCTATTTTAATATATTTTCTCTCTCATTATTTATTACCATTGATCTATCTTTGTATGGTTATGATTTTCCACATGACATAGTCATGTGATTTTCCACATTAGAAGATCCAAATCCTATAGAATAAGAGATGAGAACAGCACAAAAGAAGAGAAACATCTCAGAGTCATCTTGAAAATACAAGAAAAAATGCATCCTTAATAAAAATTCAAGACTTCATCTTACACCATTCTATCTTTCTATCTGTTGATTCTATTGTTTTGTTTAAATTGATTATGTCCAAGACTTTCATTGCCAAATTAGACTAGAGCATTTCTCTTTGGTTAAGGATGAGTTCGATACAGTGGCGGACCCAAAAAAATTTATAGTGAGGGGCGAAAAAAAATTTATATTATAAAGAAAAAATACATACAATCGTATATGAATCTAATATAAAAAGTTTGAAAGAGTTTTATTACAAAATTCAAGGTCAATTCACTTAACTCTTGCTTTGCTTTTTTCATATTATTAAACTCTTCTATAATTGAATATGTGCTAAAATTCAAAAAAATTCTTTTTCAATATATGTAATCAAAGAAATTGGTCTTCCATTTGATTTCGAAGTCTAGGTCATGATTATTTTCATGGCCAGATTTAGGAAGGGACAAGAAATTGGTCTTCTTATAATAATATGATAAAGCTCTTTCAGGAGTTGCCATAAAAACGGGATAGTGAGTACAAGTCTAATCAATCTATCAATAAGAGGATAAATAATTGATTTTTCAGATGTGCCCGATTTTGAATTTTTTCTTGGGCCCTAAAAGTTTGCTACTTCATTCGGAGAAATTGCAATTTCAATCTCTAAGTTTTATGTTTGTTTAAGTTTTTTTTTGAAATTTTTAGCCCAATTACTTAATTTTTTTAGTCCAAATTTAATTTTTTTAATCCCAAAATTATATATCTATGTATATATAGTAAAAAAAAACTAAAAATCAGGGAGGGGCGATGGCCAACCCTAGCCCCTCCTCTAGGTCGATCCCTAAACATAACTTAATTATTGGACGTAGGTATTATGAATTGAGTTATATTTGAACTTGCTTATATTCTTCTGTTATTATTCTCGTCTTGATTTGTTTAGGAAGCTCACGAGATAGGTTTCTATTGCTAGTTAAGAACTCGTTAACATTTCAAGTGATTCATATGATTTTCTTAATTCCAATTAGTACTTTGTGATTATTATTTTTTCCCTAATCATGATGAAGAATATAACTTAGTTAAAATATTGTATGTTTAAGCTAGATTATTGCTTATACCAACTTATCTTTCTCATCTTAATTCATCCATTGAGTCAATTGTCCATAAAAGCTAGGTTACTTAATAACTTAGGGGGCGTTTGGTTGAGGAGAAATTTTTTGAATACTAAGGAAATGTAATTGATAGGGAAATGATTGGAAAGTGAGTTTGGTAGGAAACTGTAAAAAAAGTTGTTTGGTTGGAAAAAATTTTACCAGGAAAATTGAGTGAAATTCATGAATGTGTGTTTGGTTGAATATAAAATATTGATGAGAAAATTTATTGAAATTACAAAATTATCCTTTTAAAAATAACCCTTTAGCTTTTACAAAACTTACTGTGCAAACTTTGCTCACCTGTGAGGGATAATATTGTCAATGTTTTGTATCACTATATCAACTTATCTGATTTTTATAGAAATACCATGTTCAAAGTAGCATTCAGGAACAGTACTTTTCTTCTTTTTTAACGTGTAACTGTGGATAGCTAGCTAACTGATATTCATAGATAAAAATTGAGAATCCGTGAAACAAACGCAGACAATTGACAAACTTAGAATCACTTGCTTGGGGAAATCGACAGAACTCTTGAAACAAACACTGCCTTATAGATTAGGTTGTGAAAGGATTTTCTAGCTTGTTATGAGGAATCAAGCTATCAAATGTTGGAGAAGGTATTTTGTGGGCCTGGACTATAGTGGTTCTTTCCAAAAAAAAAAAAAAGAGGGATGAAGAGAAAAAAAATCAAAAAAGAAAAAGATAAAAATGGAAGAAAATTTTCTTTTTATAAAAAAAGGACCACTGAATAAGTGGTGGACCTGGAACGTATTAAATTTTTTCCAAGTGTTAATATGTTCAAATAAGATTCAAGGAATACTAAAGAAATCTGATTTTCATAACTGGTAATAACCTGGTATGTTTTGTCTAGTTTCAGTCTAGTGAGGAAGTACGACACTTTAACCAGCCTTTAATCATTGCATCTCCTCTTTATTATTTTAATTGTTTACTATTTTATTGTTATTATTTTCTTAATTCATAAAAAAACTCCTGTTGATCTTGGCTTGATAAATCGACAATAAAATCCTTATGATTTAAGCTATTTATTTTATTATTTAAATAAAAAAATAAAAATGTTATTATCACTGTTTTACGTAGCATCCGCTGACATGTTTTTATACAAATAAAACATATAATATTTAAAATTTCTCGTAAAACCCCCTTCTCTGTTTTTAAAGAAATTATTATGATTTACTAAAAACCAACCTTTTTCCTCTTTTTTAAATAACAAGTATTCAATAATTGAAGAGTTAAAAGAATCTCCACTACCTCTAAACTTTCCAAACTTCATATGAAAAAATAATAATAAAAAATATATTTAATATATAAAGTGCGCTATACGACATATAAAACAAAAGAAAAATGATAACGCGCACATATCAATTTTCTCTTTTATTCTTCACATTTTTCAACTTAGAAATATTTCCACCTCATAATAGAAAAACGAGTAAAGATACTAGGTAAAAAAACTGCCCATAGAAATGAGGAGTTATGGTAAAAAAAAAATAAGAGTAAATATTCTTTTTGGTTCTCAGCAAATTTCACGATGCCCATTTTAGTCCCTAGTAAATTAAAAGGCCCATCGTGGTCCCTAAGAAATTTAAAATGGACTCATTTAGTTGAAATCGTGGTCCCTCACAAATTCAAAAAAGAACCGTATTAGTCTCTAAAAGGACTAAAATGGGTCCATTTTGAATTTCTTAGGGACCACGATGAACCTTTTTTTATTTGCTAGGAACTAAAGCGGGTATCATGAAATCTGCTGAGGACGAAAAATAGTATTTACTCAAAAAATAATATCCAACGATCATGATGAGATTACTAGTACACGCAAATAACATTACTCAAAGCAATATGTATGTTGCTGCCTGCTGGTTATGTTAGGGTAAGATCATCATAATAAGGAATCACAAGAAGGTCACCAAGCCATTAAAGCCGTTCCCTGCTAAGAACATCTCAAGTGTCAATGCCACCTTTAACTTGTTTTCAGATACCCAAATGTCTTTATAAAGTAGCAGAGGAGATTATAATCATTTTTTCAAAAAAGAAAATCCTCGATAAATAATGCATAATATCCCCCTCTTCTATATCAAATAAATCATCCCTTACCTACATTTCTCACAATTTTGCTGATATTTAATTTATTAATGTGGAATGTCAGCGCAATAAGGTTGGGCTCAAAACCAAGCGTAAATGGTTTCATGTTAGTTAAGAAACCAGCCAGTCTAAAAAGCTTGCGTTGTGAATGGAGACCCAAATTACTTTTATTCCCAGAGCATCGAATGAAATACTCTATATAACAGCTTCCAGAGGGAAGGTTTTTCACTTATAAATGTCTACTTGTTAATAAATCAGAAGCATTTAATACATCAAATCATATATATCATTAATAGTAAAATAAAACTCTCAAACAATTTTTCATGCTAATTTTCTGCAGGTTGCATAAGAACTGACAAGTACTCAAGTAGCACACAGGCAATTTAATGCACGGGATTAGTCCTTTGGTTAAGAAGTACCCCACGTCTAGGTCACAGGAGCAGGCATCAACAACTGAGGGATTTATGCAAGAAAGGTGCAGAAGATACGCCATTAAGTGAAGAATCATCTGATGTTATGTATTAATTCAAACGGAAAAAAGAAAGATAGAGAAGACTCAAACAATCTGACATATTTATGGAGCACATATAAGCTAACTTACTGTTTTAAATTATATGCAGCATTGGTTACAATAGATCTTCATACAATGCAGAGCTAATGTAATTGTTCACCTATCTGTCACAAATAAAATGTGAAATGATGATTGTAATGCTTTTCTAGGATAATTGAAGATTATATATACATTAATCAAGAAAATATCCTTCACCATGCTAGTGCTATTATAGTATCGTTGCCCGTCTCTTTCTTCCATGAGGTTTTAGTTCCCCAATCAGTTCCCACCATGTTCTTATATCAGAATCAAGCAACCCTATTCATTATTCAATGTCATGCAACACAGCAACAACCTTGAAGCAGGCAACTATGAGCCAGAAGCTGGTTTTAGGCAGGGCTCCAGTGAGAAGATCGGTATTTGCTACTCACTAAACATAAAATTGATTTTCATTGGAAGGGATGAAGGTCGCATTAGGCTGGCATTAGGCTATAGTGCAACCTGCTACATGTGGTTCTTGATATAGCATAAACTGACATCAATATGCCAGAAAAATTAAAAGCCAAACAAAACTTCAACTTGTTCAAACCAGGCTTGAACTCCATGTCTGATGCACAATACCAATTATGCAGAAAAAACACAAATTATTATAGATAAAAAATCAAGACTTCATATTAAGGAGACCACAACCGCAACCAACCACCAAGTCCCCATCATAAGAATATCATTCAAATAACTTATATAAGTACATTGATTTATGCTCCATAGAATTAGCATTTGTTCAACAATGTTTACAGCTGCAATGTTAGATACTCCAAAAAGGAGTACATAGCTGCAATGTTCACAAATAATGGATGCAATGCGAATAAGAAATGTTCTTTAGCATGCAAGCATGTCATCATGGAAGTTGGACCATCTTTCAAATGCCAAACTGGGTAGCCAATAAACATACTTATTCCATTGGTAACTTTAAATATTCTGTGTAGCAGCAAAATCAAAGGTCTGTTGAGAATACAACAAAACTACAGAGCAAACAAACAGTCTTCAAAGAATATTCAGCTATCTAATAAATCCTGTCAAGCTATTCTCACCAGCACCTTATTCTTTTTGCCTGCAGATAATAGGAGAACTTTCCCATCCACTATATCTGCTGCCTCAATCCTCTTACTTTCACTATCTACTCTGTTATTATTCAAGTAAAGACCTCCTTGCTTTAACAAACGGCGCGCAGCAGATTTGCTGTCAAACAAACCAGAAGAAACAGAAAGATCAACTAATGACAAGTTCAAAACCTCGTCGTAAGCTAAAGAACGAGATGGGACATCCTCTGCGATCCCTTCAATAGTTTTCCAGTCCAACTTTGTCTCAGATCCAGGCCTCAATGCTTCAGTCGCCTTGAGAGCTTCAGTTAAACCTTCTTCTCCATGAACAAATTGGGTAACTTCTTCAGCAAGCCTCCGCTGAGCAGTATTGGGAACATAACCAGGTTTCATCATCTCTCCCTCCAAGGAAACTATCTCTTGAATATCCAAAAAGGTAAGAATTTTCAGAAACCTAATAACATCAGCATCCGAAACAGAGAAAAAATACTGGTAAAACTTGTAAGGAGACAAAAAGGATGGCGATAACCAAATTGCACCATCCTCTGATTTACCAAATTTTGTGCCATCACTCTTCAAGAGAAGAGGAAATGTCAAGCCATAAGCACCCTCTACCTGCAATATCTTTCGAATCAACTCAGTCCCAGCAGTTATATTACCCCATTGATCACTACCCCCAATCTGAACACTAACACCTTCATTCTGAAACAAGTGCAAGAAATCATAGCCCTGCAACAACTGGTAAGTGAACTCAGTGTAACTCATCCCTTGTTCAGATTCCAACCTCTTCCTCACACTCTCCTTAGCCATCATTGAACCCACCCTTGCATACCTACCCACCCGTTTCAGAAAATCCAGCAAACTAAATTCCTTCCACCACTCATAGTTATTCAAAATTAAAACTGAAGAAGAACCACTCACATTCAACTCATCCAAGTTCGAATTTTGAGCACGACCCAGAATTCTCCTGATGGTGTTAGAGATACCTACAGTGTTCTTCTCCAAGGAATCGGCGTCAAGCTCGGGCCTTTCGAGGCTTTTCCCAGATGGGTCGCCGACGCGGGCGGTGGCGCCGCCGATCAAGGCGACGGGGCGGTGGCCGCAGCGGCGGAACCAGGAGAGTACGATGAGGCCGAGGAGGTTGCCCAAGTGAAGGCTCTCGGCGGTGGGGTCGAAACCGCAGTAGACCTTGAGGGGTGCCGCAATGGGGTCGGAGGAAGCGCTTCTGAGAGCATCGCTGGTTATGGATTCGAGTAGACCTCTTTCTTCGAGTATTTCGATGATGTTGCGGCGAAGTAACGGTTGTTGTTGTTGGTGTTGGAGAGTGCAGGTTGTTCTGCTGAATTGGAGAGGGAGGAAAGAGAAAGAAGAAGAAGGTTTGAAGGGAGAGAAGAAGAGTTTGGTTGAATGGGAGAAGAATAGGGTCCTTGAAGTAGAAATCGACGCCATTGTGTGTGTTTGTGTTTGTGCTTGTGCCTCTGTCTCCGTTCAATTGGGATATGATTATACGAAGGTTGCTCTCACTCCCCACCATTTCACATCATTTGATAATTGTTGAAACATGATATTGTACCCCATTTTTATTAGGGTTTAATGCTTATGAAATTATAATGATAAATTTACCATCTATACACATTAAAATATATGGGTCGTATAGGTTAATATGAGAAAAAAAAATATGCATACATACACTTTTTTTTTTTTATGTATGTATAGAAAATAAATTTATCTTTTATAATATAAAAAATATTAAAAATTTTTTATTAAATAATTAATTCATTTACAAATCAATTAATATATATATATATATATATATATATATATATATATATATATATATATATAGAGGACAGATCCTTTAACACCAGTGTCAAACTTTGAAATTTGACACAAAATCTAACCGTTGATTTCTGTCAATCAACGGTTGTCATTTATTGAGAATTAATAATTAATTAATAAGTGTGATTCCCAATAAATGATAATTATTGATTGACGGAAATCAACGGTTAGAATTCGATGTAAAAATTTAAAGTTTGACACCTCATCTGAGAGTCGTTAGATTAAAAAAGATCAATAGTGTCACATGTTTATAAATTAGAGTCGTTGATCTTTTTTGATCTAATGGCTCTCAAATGAGGTGTCAAACTTTAAATTTGACATTGGCGTCAAAGGATCCTACCCCTATATATGTATATATAAAATATGGGAGTGGATCCTCTCATGTGCTAATTAACATGACCATGTCATGTGGGACAATCACAACCATACATGGGTGAGTTAATGGTGATAAAGGAGGAGAGAAAAAAAATACAAGGATAAGAAGTTATACAATCATCACCGTTGATTTAATTATTAGTGGTTAAAATCTTCCCACGTGACATGATCACGTTAAATTACACATGAGAGAAACCATTTCAATAAAATATAGGACTCCATTGCTCTCTTACAGTAGGAGATACTCTTTATCAATAGGTGACACAAAAAATAGTGAGCCCCACCAATATTTAAAAAGGAAAAAAGATTAAACAGATTACAAAGTTAGAGACTTTTTGAATGGCGTCTGAGGGTAGGGTTTCCGCAAAAGAGAGCAGGAACCTGAAGGATGATGAGGAAGACCTCTTGGAAAGAAGCATCAAGAAGGCGAAAGGTTTTGCGATTGAAGATCATACGATGGATGATCATATGCATGAGGGCAATAATATATCCCATGCGGAGATCCAAAAAGGAGAGGGAGAGGGAAGATTTCAAAATCAAGCTGCACCAGTTTGTTGTCCTGTTTCATAAGAGATACACTAATCCATTTCAATGGAGCTTTAGGAGTCGGAGAAGAAAGTTATGAAGAAGATTGGATGGCAAGGCAACACATGAAGGAAGAGGAAGAAAAGGTATTTGATGAGAATATGATCCATAAGGGAGATGATCCTTTATGTCCGACATGGCGACATACCACTTTTCCAAATCCTTGCACAAGGAAAGCTGTGCGCAATGGAGGAACTCACTCATAATCAAGTTGTTTGGAAAAATAGTTAGAGCAAGGTTTCTGATGGGCACGTTGTGGAATCTAGATGGCAAGGAATGAATATTATCTAATTCGTTTTATGAATGAGGCGGATTACAAGCATGTGCTTCATGAAGGGCCATGGATCGTGGCTGGACATTATGTTGTTGTTCAACGATGGCACCCTTTATTCGATCGATATGATGATAGTTTTAAAAAAACTGGCAATGTGGATTAGAATTTCGGGATTACCAATTGAGTTCTACACAAATCAACACTTGTGGAACATTGGTAATATCTTTGGCTAAACAATGAAAGTGGATAGAAACTCTCTTAGACAAGGAGAATCAGGGGTTCTTGATGTAACGGAGAGGGCTCAATTTGCTCGTATTTGCCTCGAAATCGATCTTCAAAAGGGATTTCTATCAAAATTCAAAATTGCAAACAGAGTCTTTCAAGTCAGTTATGAAGGACCGCATCTAATTTGTTTCAGCTGTGGCAGATACGACCATCAGAAAGACCAATGCCCTATGCAGATCAAACAAGAGACGAGTCTATGGAGGAATAATCTGTTGTTACGTTCGATTAAAGCAAGCATGCAAGAGCTTCCGGAGAAGTAAAAGAGCGAGTTAATACAACAACCAGATACATCAAGTCAAATAGAGGCGATCCAAGAAATAGAGAGATTTCTGAAAACTGACAAGAAGAAAGTATTCGAATTTTTTTTGAAAATTCGAAGAACAGTGGGTTCATCAGAAAAGTAAAGAAAAACGGATCAAGCTTCCTCTTATTAGGCTCTAGATACCATGTTCAATAACAAGAGACGACAGAAACATTAGTATAAATCTGTATATTGAATTGATACATTAATATACAATATATAGAAATACTAATGATTTTAGCTCAGACCTAACCTAAATCCTAATAAAATAAAAAAATAAATATTTACAAATAATAAATATTTTCTAAAAATATTCTTTTTAACACCCTTTAATACCAATTCTTGGAGCTCTTGGATTTTGGCCTCTTACTGTGCATTTTTTCATTGGAGATGTATTTTTTTCAAAAGAGAATACTAAAGTGTAGCAGAAAAGGGATCTGCCTTAACATGCTTAGTATTTCTTGCCTTAATTACTACTGGTGTAACTACAGCTGGCTTTTTTTTGGTGGGATTGTCATTGATAGAGATTTCAGGAGCAAGAAAAGAAATTGCAATTTTTGTTCATGTTCACATGATGCCTAGGATGGTGATCTTCTTGTTTATTGTTTAGCAGCCCTATATTTATTTTAAGTGGGAATGGATTCACTTATATGTTATTTAATATTATCATATTAACTTAGAGATCCTAATTATTTATTTCCAAGTCAATAGTAATGAAAGATGAAAGAGAAAAAATATTGGAATAAAAAGTGATAAAATTCATCACCATTAATTTATCTATAAATAATTAAGATCCTTTCATATAATATAATCATATTAAATAATACATGCAAATACTCACTCCCATTCTCTTGTTGCTTTTTGGTTTACTATTCTTTTACTGCGTAGCTAGTTCTGCATTGCAATGCAAAATTAACGAATTGAAGTAAAAGCTTACAAATTTCGTTTGTTACACAAGTCAGTGATTCCGAGCGCTAGCTCATCACACACTTCTTATTTTTTGTTAACAAGTTTATACTATATTTTTTTGTTCAAATAGTTTGAACCACATTAAAGCATTCTATGGTCAATTGGCCTCTCCAATTTTAAAACCATTCTTTCTTTCTTTTTTTCCGGTTTCATTTAAGTTGAAAGCCCACTATGTAAGAGCCCATAGTTTTAGACTTTTCAATTTTCCCTCAATTTTTGGAGTAAAATGCAAAAAACATCCCTACAATTTTTTTTTTTACTTTGGTATAGTTTATTCTTAAGATTCAAAAAAAAAAAAATTAAAAAATCAAAAGACACATTTAATCTACACAACATGTACAAAGAAAAAAAAAACAACGTATTGGTCAAATGTATTAGGGAAAATGTGAAGCAAGAATCGACACTAAAGTTTTGTGTGTGTATAATATATGTGTTCTAAAAATAAAAAAGAGATCAAGCCTACAATTCAACATAATATTAGAATTCAAGGAACTTGGATAGAATTAAATCTATTGGCACCATGTGATTTAAGCATACATTAGAGGGAGGAATGAGATGTTAGGGGCATTTTGGAATTTTAAAAAAATTCTTAGGAGCATTTGTTTTGTTCAACTGACATTCCCATGGCTAACGAAAACCATGGTATGAGTTTCACATTCTGACAAAATTATTATTATAACAAAATGCCTGACTTTTTGTGAAAATTAATTTAGAAAAATATGTCTAACGCTATTAAAAGTTGATTCCCTACATTTTTTTAAGTGCAGGCGATCCTACTTGGATTCCCATAATGTGTGGTACCTACCATTCCGTTGGCTTTATTCTATCCGTTTCGATGAAATTTCCTCCAAGCTCTCAAACAATTTCAAGTCAAATCCTCAATTATAATAACGGAATGAAAGTTTTAACCCGTAACTGAGTTTAAGTTAGAGATTTGTCATTTCTCATGCTTATTTTATCTATTATTTTTTAATTCCGTTAGATGATAATTTTATGAGAAGATAAAAATGATAAAATTTAATTAAGATTATGATTTAATGGTATTGAATAATAATAAATAAAGTAAATATAAAAAAAAATAAGTAAAAAAATCAATTCCTTTAAAATATCTCAACTCGTTATCAATAACTCTTTATTCAAATGGTTTAATGTTGCCAATGGCAAACCCCTTTTACACCAATCCAATAATGTACGAGTAATTTGGTTACATTTACTTAAATTTTTTTATTAATCATTACCAAATTATTAAAAAGTTAGGCTGTATTACAATTTACTAAGGAAGTATAACTTTTTTTTAATAACATCTTAATACATTATTACATGTGATGTTTACTACAATCATACCGGAACAAATTCAAAGTCTAATTCAAAGGTAACAATTTTTGACTCTATAATTTTCTATTTAATTGCCAACTTTTAGACTCGACAAAGGGTAACAGAATTCCAAGGGTTCATACAAAAAAGTCTATGAAAAGAAATATTCAAAGCTGAAATTAACATTTTCATATTTGGTTGAGATAACAACACACTTTCATAAGTTTTAATTCAAGTCAAACCATAGGTTAAGCTTTTATTCAAGTCAAAACCATAGGTTAAGTTCCCCAATATTCCACAATTATTTCACCACCAACCCCATCTTTTCCTCCCATTCCCACGGTGGCCTGAACGGTGGTGTTAACGCATTTCATTCCCTTATCACGGTCAAACCCTTCTTTCCCTTTTTCCATTTCCAGCTTCTCCTTTCTCTCACAAACTCAACAACAAACTAGGAATCACAGAACATCACCTTTCAATCCCCTTTTTCTGGTAAAACCCATATTTCATCAGTTTCTCAATTTTTTAGTTATGTTTTTTTTTAAAAATTTAATTTAACTTTGTCATCATATTTCATCACTCTGTACTTGCATTGTTGTTAAGAAATAAAAAGTATTTGGTTCTGTTAAGGTTCTAATTCTGCTCCTTGATCATGTGTTGCTGCATTTGTTTTGTATTTGGTTGCTACTTACTTGTAGCGTTTATGTTTGGTCATGTATTCCTTTGTTGATCTTGCTTGGTTCACTGTAGTGTTATATTTTTCTGCTTGAAACTCTCGGTCCACGCAGTTGTCCATGTACCAGTAGAAGATTCGGCAGAGAATTTTTAACTTCCTTTGTAATATTCTTAATTTTTAACTCCAAGTGTTTGAATTGATTTTTATGTCAAGTGGAGCCAACTTAACAAAGTCGAGTTTGATTTGATGAACCCAGTTAAATAATCAAACTTGATCGGATGCTTGAGTTGAGCATGCCTTTTTTTCCCTCCTTCATTGAGTTGAATTGAACCTAAGTCTGCCTGTGTCGTGGTTTGTCGCCAATCATTGCTCCCAAGCCTGAGTTTAAGAGGAGAGTTGTGTTATGCAATTGATAGCCAATGTAAAACAAAAATATCTGGAATGAATTTATTAGAGAGAAAGCAAGAGTAGCATTTGTGGAGGAAAAGATGACAGAATCTCACCTAAGATGATTTGGTCATGTGCGGAGAAGACTAATAAATGCCAAGCCAGATGGAGGATAGCCCAATAAATAAGGTAGAGGAAGACCAAGGAAAACTCTAAGAGAAACCATGAAAAAAGCTTAACCTAGATCTAAATGGCCTTTTCGAGCACTTAATTTTGACAGAACACAAGTCACAAGGGCATTGTTCTGTAGCTAATCACTCCTAGTGGGAAAAAGCTTTTTTTTTTTTTTTGCTCTAAGGTGAGCCTACAGTGCTTTTAGCTTGACTCAGCTGGCATTTCTAGTTCTAGGTAGACCCATGTGCTCTCTAAGGCATTGTTTGGTTCATCATATAAGAAGGACCAGATACTATAAGCGGATACTATTACTATCCAGTGATATCAGATTTTTGCTTCATGTGCACCTTAGTACAATACCATAACTCTTTTATATTGAGGTTTGTTCGATAAGACCAGATAGCAAATGTAATGCATGAGCATGAGTCCCCTGTTGGGTAGGTGTGAGTGTGAGAAATGAAACTCCTCCCATTTATAGTGGAGTGTATCTTCTCTTGTCATCCTGGCTTTTAGAAATGGGGTTTCCTCTGCTTCAAGGGGTATTATAACCTGGTTTGTTACTTCGTTTACACCCTGGAGTGAATGGGCCATTCTTTCCAAATTGATGGGGTGACCACAGGATTGTGAGTTGTGTATTACCTGGGTCATGAGTGTGGATGGAGGCTCTTGCCTCTTATCAGTCTGGATTTTAGTTGTGGGATATTGGCCTCTCCTTTACATTGAATGATCCTGATAATATTGAAAAACCCCATCTTTCTACCACCCTTTTCTATGACAACAAGATCTTATGCCTCTCTCTACTCACCTTGCTTCCTGACTGTCAACTCCCCCATCTAGGAAGCTCATCATCCAGCCACCCGCTATCTGAATTGCTTCCCGTGGTCTTATTTTTTGGCAGAGACTTGGTAATCCTTTTTCCATTTGTTTTTCATCATCCAACCAGCAGTGTATGTAGGTGGCTGGTTCTACAATGTATGGAAAAATTTACTTGAGTTTGGATTATTCCAACCTCAACAACTTCCCAGGTCCCTTTTCAGCAGTTCCTGCTTGTTTATTTTCATCTTAAATTTTCTTTTTTGGTGAAATTTTCTTAAATTTTCAGAATGACATGCATCCTAGAGTGTTACCTGGATTCATAATTTCTGCACTTACAGATTTAGCTGACCCTGACAACTAAAATTGTTCATCATCACATTTGAATATTTCAGATATTTAGCTTTGCAAATTCAGTATGGATGTATTACAGATGTAACCCTCCTCTTGTCCACTACAGCAGCAGTTTCAGATTTTCAGTTTTCTAAAATCTTTTGTACGGATAGTTATATGCTTTACTGTTTTTTAGAGTAGCAAAAAGCATCATGAACTTTTTTATCATAATCTCCAATATTTGTAAATCTGAATGGTCCATTTATCCAAAGCTGCAATTTTCAATCTTTTAAGCAGTCTTTTTGCAAAAATGCAAAGGTTAGGCTGTACAATTGACCTTCACCCTTACCCTTGCAAATTAAGGTGCCTTGTGCTCTAGGGTTTGCCCCCTTTTTCGCCAGTTAGTGGGGCAATGTTGTGCTTTGGTAGTCCCATTTTCATTGAATTTCTTTCTTGTTTTCGTTGGCCATTTTAACACTATTTGCAATGTTCTATTAGTATCATACTGAAAAAATTTGTTCTCTTTAATTTTATCGTTATTTTATTCTCCAATTGTTGCAATTCCCTTTTCCTCTTCCCACATAAATGTATTTTTTTTCTTCTAAATTGACATTTAATTTCATAATTAGGTAATAAACAATCCAATAACAAATGGTTAATGTCTTCATGCTATCATGTAGCTTATACAGCCTTATGTCAAACATTTGATAATATAAAGGCTTATTAGTTTCTTATACTATCAGGTCTTATAGTTTCCTCATATACTACGCTGTCCTGGATTACGCAATATCTGGAGCTATTTTATTCCTGTTCTATCAGATCTACATGTAACTGATGCAAGTTTTTTGTTACTGACGTAGGTGTTATGGAGATATCTTTGTTAAAGGTGCTCTCTAATGGCATATCCTCATTTTTGCGTTTATCATTTTCTGGCAAAATGAACTCAGAACTGGTATCAAAGTATTACCAAAAGGCAGAGAAGATGCTTAAGTTGTTGAAACCAATTATTGAGGCAACTGATAATTCTGATTTTGCTTCTGATGAAGTTCTTAGTAAGCTATTCAAGGAACTTGGTCTGGATGTTGATGAGTTGAGGGAGCTTATTCAGAACTGGCATCTATTATCTAGCAAATTTTACTTTGTAAGTCTCATTCTACAATATTAAATTTTAGTTTGTAGATAGAGATGGAACATTTATGTTAGTTGTTAGTTTAACATAAAACGAGTTGAGCTATGTTGTGCAATGATTGTCTTTGCCATGTGCTAAGTAATGCCCAGATCCAATTTCAGGATAAATATTTTTTTCTGTTGCTGGCATGGTGATCGTGCTTTTTACTGCTCTCTTGTATAGAGGAATACAGCTATGTGGCCAAGCATTGGTGGATTTTTCCATATTCTTTCTCCCTTAGTCACTCCCTTCCTTTCATCTTCTTTATTCTCCTCCTCCTTCCTCCTTTCTCACAGCATTACTTCATGTTGTTTCAAGATGTGCTTAATCAATGTTTTGCTTTGTGATGTTCACCCAAATTCTAGTTGTTTTTATAAAAAACTTTGGGATACACCACTCCAAAAGCTAGCTCAAAGGGTGGAAGTGCCCAAGACCTTATAAACTCCACATTAGTTGCACATACAACCAACACGCCCCCTCACACGAGAGCCCATTGGGCTTGAAGAGTGGACAATGCAACAGACCCAGCCTACCTGTGCTAAGAAACTCCACAAGAGAAAGTGGGGGGCGGCGAGGCTCTGATACCATATAAAGAACCTTGGGATACACCACTCTAAAAGCTAGCTCAAAGGGTGGGAGTGCCCAAGACCTTATAAACTCCACATTAGTTGCACATACAACCAACAGTTTTTATCAAGTTTATCTATATAGCACTACCCTTTTCTGAGGATACATTCATATTGGTAGGAAGACATTACTCTTCTTTTTGCTGTCTCGATCTCCTCCTTGGCGAGGTGAGATGTGATTTGGTTAGAAGTGGACAGTGTGCTAGTATATTTGCTTGAGCTGGATGGCCATCTTCTGTAGAAGTACAATATGTAGTTGTCTCGTGATGCCTTCTTCTTATAGATGTTATTTGGCTTAATTCTTAAATGTTTGGACACGTTGATTCTCACTATTTCCTTTTTCCTGATCACTAGGTTATGCAAGCTGAACCCTTGATATCAAGAATTAAGGTTTCGGGGCTCAATATTTTACAGCAGCTGAAGGCTTCGCAGCAATATCTCCCGGATGATTTGGGACCTGATACATCATCAGCCATTAAAGAAGCTGTTATGGAACAACTGGAAGGTGTAGGACCCAGTTCAGAGGTCCTGGCCAAGATTGCTGAGAACCTGGGCTTAAGGTCTAATCAGGAGGTTCTGATTGAGGCCGTGGCCCTTCAAAACTTGAAGGAGAATGCTGAACAAGCTGAAAATACTGCAGAAGCTGAATATATTGATCAAATGATCTCTGTTGTAACTCGTATGCATGAGCATCTTGTTATGCTTAAGCAAGCTCAGAGCTCTATACCAGAGTCAGTACCTGCTGATTTTTGCTGTCCTCTCTCTTTGGAGTTGATGACAGATCCAGTCATTGTGTCATCAGGGCAAACCTATGAGCGCGCTTTCATCAAGAACTGGATTGATCTTGGGCTTACTGTTTGTCCAAAGACACGTCAGACTCTAGTACACACCAACCTAATACCTAACTACACTGTAAAGGCATTAATAGCAAACTGGTGTGAAACAAACAATGTGAAGCTTGTTGATCCCGTTAAGTCCACAAATTTAAATCAACCATCTCTCCTTCATGGGTCTATGGAGTCTGGTTCAACCAAAGAATCACCTATTATAACTTCTTTTGGTGGAATCCACCAAGAGGGAACATCATCATTGCATCCTCATGCAACTCCAGAAGGTTCCTTAAACGGCACGGTTAATGGGCAGCATGTGGATCTTGCAAGAATATCACACACAGGTTCAGATGACGGGTCTGTCAGCTCAGATGAAGTGAGTGTGGATTCAGTTGGCCAATCATTAATGTCTCCATCTAGAAGGGAATCATCCAATGCCTTGAGCTCAGAACAATCTCAAACCCATGATAGAAATGTTTCTGATACCAGTGTGATCTCTAGTGCAAATATTCCTCAAGGTACACATGATGACAACAATAGTGTTCCACTGCTGTCAACCAATCCAGTATACAGTCGAGATACTTTTGGAGAACTAAATCCGGGGGCAGATGCTGCTTCCATGCCAACTCTGCATAAAGAACCTGAGTTTTCTCCCCAGTTGGTGGGGCCAAGGTCTCAAAGCCAAACTGTACGGCGACGGTCATCAGAGAGGTTTGTTTCTAAAATAGTGTCTTCTTCTTCTGTTGAAACCAGAGCTGATCTTTCTGGTACTGAAACCCGGGTTCAGAAATTGGTCGAGGACTTAAAGAGCAATTCTCTTGATGCTAAGAGAGAGGCAACAGCAGAACTCCGCCTTCTTGCTAAGCACAACATGGATAACCGAATTTTAATTTCAAATTGTGGAGCCATTAGCTTATTAGTTGAATTACTTCGATCAACTGATACCATGATCCAAGAAAATTCTGTTACAGCACTTCTTAACTTATCAATCAATGATAACAACAAAACTGCGATAGCAAATGCTGGTGCAATTGAACCTCTGATTCAAGTCCTTGAGACAGGGAGCCCAGAAGCAAAGGAGAATTCAGCTGCCACTCTATTCAGCTTATCAGTTATTGAGGAAAACAAGATCAATATAGGGAGGTCTGGGGCAATTAGACCACTGGTTGATTTATTAGGGAACGGAACCCCTAGGGGGAAGAAAGATGCTGCTACTGCTTTGTTTAATTTGTCAATATTTCATGAAAACAAGGATCGGATTGTGGAAGCTGGGGCCGTGAAGCACCTTGTAGAGTTAATGGATCCTGCAGCTGGAATGGTTGATAAGGCAGTGGCTGTTTTAGCAAATCTCGCCACAATACAAGAAGGAAAAACAGCAATTGGTCAGGAAGGTGGGATTCCTGTTCTGGTTGAGGTTGTTGAGTTGGGTTCTGCGAGAGGAAAGGAGAATGCAGCAGCAGCTCTTCTACATCTATGCTCAAACAATCAAAGATTTTTAAACTCGGTGCTCCAAGAAGGAGCTGTGCCCCCATTAGTAGCTTTGTCACAGTCAGGCACTCCAAGGGCCAAAGAAAAGGTATAGTTCTTTCTTTATGGTTTCATGTTTTAGTTGCCTTTTATTTTATTTTTTTATTTTGTTACAAAAAGCAGTGATGGATTTTGTTTTCTATTTAGGCCCTGGCTCTCCTTAATCAATTTAGAAGCCAAAGACATGGTACCGCTGGGAGGGCTTGATTTCGAATTCCTAGCCTCTTGAGCCATCCATAGGTTTTGAAGCAACTCTTATATAACGTCTCTTATTTATACCTTACATTTTGCACATAATGTGTGTAAAGGTGTTATTTTATTGTTTACACTCGCTTGTAAAGGGGAATAATGTGTATGGAGGATTGATTGTGTCCTCTTGTGAAAAACATTTCTGTGATGTGAAGAAAAATTATACATGCAAGTCTTGCTTCTGTTCAGAAACAAAAATTTCTGGCTTTTGTTGCTGAGCTAGAGCAAAACGTTTGTGGACAAATTGTTATATCTGGTTTATTTAGTCCTTGGATGATTTATATAACAGGCGAAACAACCATCTCAACGCTATGCACAACAGATTCCATATTATTGCATGTAATGTTCGATGGGCAGCATTTGAAAGGGATAAATTCTAGATGCTGGGGGCTTCAGCATTGTGTTTGGTTGTCTTTGTGACCAAATTCTATATTCTTTTCTTCTTTTACATTCTCTTCAGTAGAGTTTTTTGGGTTCATCAAACATCTAAGTTTTCACAATTCTTTACCTCCTGGGTTTTCTTGCCTTCCTATTTTTCATTTTACCCCTAATAATTTATCCTTCTGCAGTCTATTTGAAAAGGTGATGACTTCTATTTTTTTCTATACTATTATGGTAATAACCACGACTAATTTTTGAAGATTAAAAATGGACTCCAAAAAAAAAAAAGTTGTAAAACAAAGTATCAACAGTCAGAGCAGCATTAGAGATGTATTTCTCAATGAGCTAATGGAGTTTGTACATCTTTTTTTTTTTTTTATATGGTACAAGAGTTTGTACATCTTTGTCAGCTCATTCTACGATTTTCAGTTGGATTCAAGCTCTTTAAGTCCGTTGGCCATTGCTAAGATAGTGGTATGGTTTGCGATGAGCATCTCATGAATCTCACAGCTCTTTTCATTCTCAATGTAATGAATTGAAGTTTTTTGCCAACTTGTTAGGTTACATCTTAGATTCGTTAACTTATATTTGATTATATATATGGGTAATGTTTTCCTCCTTTTACATGACACAAGCAATTTTTCTACACAAACATAAAAGTTGGCTCATCAATTCTTTTACTTTTCTTTTATTTTAAAAATAGTAGACCCCACAATTGATTGTCTCTATGACATGACCTAAGAATTTTTCTACAACATAATATTAGTTTTTCCCTATATATATAGGGGTTTGATTTTCTCATGTTAAATGAGAATTCAATTCTCATGTTGTAGAGATAAAAAGTATGTGGGACCCATGTGTTAGAAAAAATTATATGTAGGACCCATGTCAGCACGGAAATCGAAGGGTGTGTAGGAAAATTTGAATTCTCATGTTAAATGAGAATTATAAAACCCATATATATATATGGGGAAAAAGCATCTAATGTTTTATGTAGATAACTTTGTCTAATGTTCATCGAAATGACGTCGTTTTGGAGTTGAAAAATTAAAAAATTAGAATGATAAAGACTATTATAACCCTGAAATAAATTAAAACTATAAAAATAGCATGATTTTCGTCCCAAAACGATATCGTTTCGATGAACATTAAATAAAGTTATCTAAAGTAACTTTAGAAAAAATAAATCCTATATATATATATATATATATATATATATATATATATATATATATAGGAAATAGTTTTCTCCAACAGTAGAAAATAACTATCTCATGTCACTGAGACATAAAACTACGTGTTTGTAATTTTTTTCTTTTTTATTTTTTTTAACTTGTGGCTCCACATTTCTTGTTAGTGTAGGAAAAAAACTTCTCTCATGTTAAATGAGAGAAGTATTACCCATATATATATATATATATATATATATATATATATATATATATATATATATAGGAGAGAGATCATTTGACTGCAGAGTAAGACTTATAAGTCTTACTTCTCATTTCAGCCATTGATTTCCGTCCATCCAACGGTTATAGTTTAGGAAGTCATATTAATTAATTAATTATTAATTACATTACAAATGACAACCGTTGATTTCCGTCCATCAACGGCTAAGATGAGGAGTAAGACTTAAAAGTCTTACTCTCAGTGTTATTAAAACCGAACCGACCCGGCCGGGTCGACTCGTGAACCGGTAAACCGGTCATATAACCGATCCAATTTAAGCAACGGACTGGCCATGCATCAGAACCGGTGCAACCCGGTCCGACCCGGCCGGTTTTCATGAAAACTGGTGACCCGGTCGGTTAACCGGTGACCCGGCCCGGTCCCAAAAAAATTCCAAATTTTTTTTCAAAAAAAAAATCATAATGGTCATATTTAAATATATTTATTTCTTATTAACTTACATAAGCTAGGTACCTACAACACTAATATTATCTTAATTATGCACTATGCAGAAAATTTCGATTTGATTTATAGTTAGAGATGTCATTTTCTGAATCTAAAGCCCCGTATCACGATCATTATATTTTTGTTTGATCCTTTATTGTATAATAATATGTGATTTATTCTTTTTTATCTTAAAATATTTGAATTTTTTGACATTTTTGCTTAGATATTTGAGTGTGTTTATAATTTTTTAATATAAATTATAAAATTGCATATAATTATCGGGTCATGCGGTTGAACCAGTAACCCACTGGTTGAACCAGTGACCCAGTACATCGACCGGGTCAATGACCGGGCCGGTTTTAATAACATTGTTTACTCTGGAGTCAAAAGAACCCTCCCCATTTATATATATAGGTGGTTATATTTACTACTGAAAAATGTTACAACTCTTAACACTAAACTAATCACCGTTAATTTTCACCAATCTAACAATTATAATTTATTTGATATACTTATTAATTAATTATTAATTTTCAATAAATTTTAACCGTGAGATTGGCTGAAATCAACGGTGATTAGTTTAGTAGTAAGTATAACCTCTTATATATATATATATATATATAGTTCGCTTTTTCTACAGACAATGTAGATAACATATCTACAGTGATCCCAAAACGATGTCGCTTTGAGGCGGAAATCAAGGTATTTTTATAATTATAATTTATTTCAGGGTTATAATAGTCTTTTTATTTTAATTTTTCAACCCAAAACGACGTCGTTTTGAGAACGAATGTAGATAACTTATCTACATTCACTTTAGAAACTTTAAAGCCATATATATATATATATATATATATATATATATATATATATATATATATATATATATATATAATCCATGTACAATTCAATAGTCACATTTTATGTCTCATGAACCTGTTCAATTAGTTAAAGAAAATCACATGAGACATAAAATGTGACTATTGAATTGTACATGGATTATATATATATATATATATATATATATATATATATATATATATTCCCGATGTCAAGTCACTTGATACAAGGATGATAAAGGAAGAGGAAGAAATATAATATCTATTTCAGATCAATTAAATAAGAAAAATAAATATTTAAAACAACGTAGTTTTGAGTTATAAGACGATCAAGTGACATGACAAATAATTAATCCTATATATATATATATATATAGGGACATGATCTTTTGACACCGGTGTAAAATTAAAAAATTTGACACCAAATCTTAATCGTATATTTCATGAATCTAATAATAATTATTTATTGAGTTATATTTATTAATTAATTATTAATTCTTAATAAAATTTAACAGTCAAATTGATGAAAATTAATAGTTAAGATTTGATATCAAAGCTTTATTTTAACACCAATGTCAAATGATATTGTGTGTGTTTTTTTTTTCTTATACGGTATTATTCATGACTAAACAGTGTGTGCGTTTCTTATACGGTAATATCCTTGACTAAACAATTTTAAGGTTCATACCAATTTCTTATACGGTATTATCCTTGACTAAACAATTTTAAGGTTCATACCCGTTAACAAAACATTAAATATTTATAAGACACGATATTCTTTTATTATTTAAATATCAGAGCTAGTAAATTTATTGTTTTTGGAATGTTTATTTTTCAAGAAAAGGTGATCATTTTATTTTTGATTTTTAATAAAAAAAATTGACTATCTTTTTTTAATAGATATCAATAAGGGGCGTTTGGTAGAAGATAAATTTTTTTATTCTTGAAATTTTAGAAAAGTAAATTTCCCGTGAATATTACTGAAAAATTGTTTATAGGTCGAAATATTTACAGCAATATTGGCTTAATTTTCTTAATTCTATGTTTAGTTGATTGTCAATAATTCTTGAGAATATGGATTACTTTTACAAAACTAAGTTTTGATGAATTTTTGTAAAAATTCTGATATGCCACAAAAAGATCTCCGAAGTGATGCGGCTTGAAGCAAAGAGGAATCCAAGATTTTGTGAAACATAGTATCACAGCTAAGACTTTTTTTTTTTTTTGGGTATACTGATCACAACTAAAACTTTAACAAGAGATGATATTTTAATCATGAAAATATTAAATCAGAGTTATTTATATTCCATAAATTATATAAAAAAATTTCTATCAAGTCAGATTCCAAAAATATCACTTACCCAGTAGTATTATTTTATGTGATTTATTTATAATTTTAATTTCCCGAAATTTCATTTTTTTTTTAAATTTTTAAAATCTTTATAACATATAATGTGTAACTAGAATTTTTAATATCAGTTTTATAGGAATTTGAAATTTATCACTCTATCCAACAACCCCTTAATACCTGCAATTTCAATGACCCGATTAATCAATTTTAAGATTGCATCTCTCCACCTCCTCCATAAAAACAATGTTATGTTTTTTCGAAAGATGGGAAAGTAAAAGCAAAATGCCAAAAACTCAAAAGGTGGACTTAACTAGCCTAGGCCACCACCTAACATCTATTTGTGTCACTGAACAGTCTTTTTTTTTTTTTTTTTTTTTGTATATATTGAACAGTCTTTCTAAACAGCCCATCGGAGGGAGCTTATTTTAATATGGATGGAGATTTCAAAGTCCCTATCTTACAATGAAAAACAAAATGGATGGAAGACAAATTTGTGAAGAAGAGAAAGATTTAAATGAAAGAAATTTTTTTCGTTTTGAAAAAAGGTGCACCTAAAGGTTGTGGGCTGGGTCTATAATATAAAAATCCCCGTCGGAGCACTTTCTAGGATTTGGACTGACTAGGAAAACCCGTACGAATAGGATGCCAACCCAGTCTGCCATGCTATTTCCTTCACAGTGTTATATTTATCCAAAAATCTTAAGAGGGTGTTTGGTTTAGGGTAAATGTCAGAACGATAGATATATCACAAATGGAAAATTAAGAACGCTGCATTTGGTTCGTTGTCCTTCCTGATTTAGCCACCTACTGTAGATGCATAGGAAACGTAGATGCATAGCATTTTTTGCTCAAAAAGTCGGTCAAGGAACTCCTTTTTGTAGGTGGTATTGCCAAAAAGCAAGACAATTTCTCACACCGCTTAATGAACCAAAGACGAGCGTGCCACCGTAAAAATATTGCACAAACAGGGTTATTTTTGTAAACTTATCTAATTTTTCCATCTATATTTTACCTACAACCAAACATAGAATTTAAAAAAGTTACTTAATTTTTCCGGTAAAATTTTTTCCAACCAAACAATATTTTTTTACATTTTTCTACCTATCTCACTTTCCAACCATTTCCCTATATATCACATTTTCCTATTATTCATAAAATTTACCCTGAACCAAACACCCCGTAAGTGACATCAAATTTTTTTAAATATTGCTTGATGTTAGGATCAAGTTCTAATAAATAAGTTTTATTCTAGCTTATAAAAAAAAGTAAGTTTTAAATCTATAAATATCTACATAAGGATGAAAATAGGTTGGAATACCTTAGGTTTTGTTTCAAATAAACCAGATTTATATAAAATATTTTGAATCTAACTTAATTTGTTAATCTTGCATAAGCTAAATTATTAGCTGACGTTCAAAACCTAAGCATTTGAAAAAAAAATTAGAATAATATTATTTTATTATTTAAAATTAGAGAAATATTATATTTATCGTCAACTAAATTTATCATTTTTTATAGTCATAAAATAATAGTGACTAAAACATGATGGAAAGAGGATAGTAAGAGAGACAAAGAGAGTATAGGAGATCATGGAAGAGAGAAAAAAAATTATATCAAATAACAATTGTTGATTTTATTTCATCTGATGATTATAAAAAAATGGTAAAAAATGATAAACTTAGTTGATGATAAGTATAACATCTCTCTGCTTACCAAAAAAAAAAAAAAAGTATAACATCTCCCTTAAAAGTATTTAAATAATAAATTTATTTTATAAAAATAAAACAATAAACTATTTTTTAAATACTTTTTTTAAGGTCTAAATCTATTTTAGTTTACTAAATATATTAATTCAAACCTAAACTCACATATGTCGTAGTCATTCACAGACCAGCGGTTTATTTACACTGCTGGCCGGTGCGATAGGTTTGTCATTTGTCAAGAATTCCAGAGCTAAAAGCAAATGAACACAAAAAATCTAATAATATTCATTTTAATTTAATCGAGCACTACAATAAAGACATTGTCAAAGTGACAGTATCTGTCAAAACAAACTTTGCAATTTATTGCTTACATTAATGACTGCATTAAAATTTATGTTGAGCTTCACAACAAAACAATTTTTGAAGGCACAAGAAAACACCTAGTTAACAGATGAACTCCCCCACTTTTGGGGTATACACACATACCACACAGACAATTTACTTGATTATATCTCTCTGTGTCCTCTAATTGACTCTCCCACAGTGCTTCCTAATCTCCCCTTTAGACCCAGTTAAAGGTTTGATGTTTCCCATCTTAATCATTGCTCTAACAAAATCAGACTCGAAGGCCTTCTGATTATTGCTGTAAGCTGCAACAATTGAATCAGTAGATCCTCCGCTGAAGAGCACCTGGTCTGAATGAAGGAGTCCCTTTTTGTTGATAAGGTTCTTGTAGTAGTAGTTATCAAAATGGTTTGGAGTTTTGAAGTCTAGGTATGCTACATTGTTGTCTCTTTCTGACCCACTTTTCCTTGGACAGTTCCTCTTCCTTGACGTAGCAAATAAACTGTTTATGTTTGTGTCATTGTATATGCGATCTTTGTAAGTAGCACATCTTGCCTTCCCAATTGTGTGGGCTCCTAAAACCACAAAGATAACGTCCAATAAATAGCTAGGACTACCCAATCTCAGTTACATTATTAGTACATTAAACTCTAAATATAATGGGAGCTAGTAGAAATTAAAGTTGTTTGGTATATATATATACATGGTAGTGTACAATACAATTTATGAACTAATACAATTGAAATCAATTTAATAGTTCTACATTTGAATTTCACCATATATATAATACTGGTCAAATAATTATTATTTATTAATCTACCTTATAAATTTGATGTGTAACATGTATATATATACAAAATAACAAAAGACTCTCGAGGCAGAGTACTGAGGAGTTTTCCTTTAATGTTTTCTTATATAATGTTATTACAAAATTGTTAATTATTTCTCCAAAAGAATTGATTAAAAAGAAATATGGAAATAACATTTCTCATTTTAAATAATATAACTTTGTGTTATTTTGGAGCATAATTAGTATTTTTTATCTTTTCCCTCCTTTTTTTTTCTTTTCCTAATTTTTTATAAGAGATGAATATAAAATATCATCAAATATATACTAAAATGATAGTACTTCATCTAACATACTATAAAATTATATTATTTAAAATGAAAAATATTTTCCCATGAAATATAAATAGAGTTCCTTCTTTTTTTAAAGAATGTTATTGATCTCATATTAAAGAAGATAAATAATCTATGTTATAGAGAGAAAAATGTGAGCCCATCATTTGTAAAAAAGAAAAAAAGAAGCTCAAGGGACGTATTTTTTTATTTGCATAGGAAAGAAATGAGAAAATATTTTCTTTTTTTAAATCCGTGCAAACATTCAAACATAACCCATCGAAAATGCCATATGTTTTGTCAGTTGTTAAACTTGCTTTCCTTTTCAGTCTACTCTTTCTTTTTTAGAAGCCACATGGCTATGAGTCTAGAAAATGAACATGACATGCAACGTATATGGTTATTTAAATGTCACATCTAGGTCCACCAGGCCACCATAAGTAATTAACTATGTATACAGAGTCTTCATCAAAATGTGTCATTTCAATAGTTAAAAAGAAAATGTACGTGTCACATAATTGAAGAGAGAGAAAAAGAGAAAAAGAGAAAAGGAGAAAAGGACAAATACCAGATAAGGCAACCATGTCCTTGGTAGAGAGTCCTTGAGCTTGAAACCTTGAGATAAGGTTGCTAAGGGTAGAAAAGGGAGGTGGAATTACACCACTTCCTGCATCATTGAAACTGGCTGTCTTGGAATCCCTTCTACCAAGTTTAACCTTCCAATAAGGTCCTCCAAGCTGTACAGGATGAAATAGAATAAACCAAAAGAATAATTAAATATTAATTAAGGACCCAATGTACAAAATAAATATAAATATTTAAAGATCTAATTTTGTGAAGGAACTAATTCTCAAATTTGTTCAGAAATTTAGTACTAAAGTTGATGAAATTGAATGTCTAGCACATTCATTGGTTTAGAACTCACAATTGCAACAGAGTCACGAGCAGCAATGGCTACAATATCAGCACATGACACCACACCGGGGCATGCTGCCTCCACCTTAGACTTTATGGCATCAATGACTTCATAACCTCTCAAAGAATTTTTGTTGGGAGGTGCAGTCTTCTCTCCTTTGAAGGAGGAAGTGTCATCAAGTAGTACTGATCCATCACAACCCTGTTTCCAAGCAGCACCAAGCAACCCATTAAGTTATAGAGAAGCATTTTGAATTCACCTAAACCTAATTGATGATATTTGAGGGCAGTAGTAGGCAAAATATAATTAGTTAGAAGGAAGAATTTCTAAGCTATATGAGGTTCATGTTTAAAGAACACAAAAGTTTAATATAAATATTGGCAAGTACATGGATAATTGAACAAGCTGAAAGTCTTAATTCTTAAGACAAAATGACAAATAAAATAAAAATAAATATCAAGCGGCAATAAGACATTGGGTATTTGCTAATCCTACAACGCAAATGAAATGTAAAATAATGAAAAAGAAAAAGAGACTACCGTTTTTTAACTTAAAAAAAATTACGAATATTTTAAAAATAAGAGTATTTCATTATAAAATTCATTCTAGCAGAGATTCGAACCAGTGTCTTGTCGGTGGAAATTCGCATGCCGGAGTATTTGATAGGAGGTGAAAAAAAATTTCTTAGGAAAATGGAATGTGAAAAATATTTGTTTATATTTAATAGAAGGTGAAATAAAAATATGACTAAGAAATTTTTTTTTCCATAATTTTTTTTTCTATGTAAAATAGTTGGGGAAGATTATCATTGAAGGGGTGAAAAAAAAAATTTTATATGATGAAAAAATTAACACACAACATTAATAAAATTAACTTAATATTTTCGAAAAAAATTTGATTTACTAAATACCTTTTAATAACTTACTTAGAAAAAAAATTCATCATATTCTCAAAAATTATTTTTTCCGGTAAAAAAAATTAGCTTCTACTAAACATTCGTAAAACAAGTGGTGACTAACAATGGAGCCGTTAGGTTGAGGTCGTTTTACATTTTTTTTTTGGGTACAAGTACTTTTTTTTGTTTATTATTATACTTGAAATATGCTATTATTAATATTGTCACATCATTCAATAAGACTCGTTGAAAGAGATAGAAAGAAAGAAAAATACGTATAAATGGTGGGTAGCATAACTACATAAAAACAACTTAGATATTACACTATTAAATACTTGTAATTTAGTAAGGTTATCTATCTATAACATTTTGTGTCTTTAAAGGAAGGAATGGATTTTATCCACAAGAAAAAAAAAGAAAGGAATGAATGAACGATGTGATGTGAGGTCTTAACTATTAAAATTATGTTGACACCAAAAAGGTTTTTGTTTCAATGATATGATATGAGCTATCCCATTGGATAGTAAAGAATAATTGCTGAACACAGATTATACTATTAATTAATATATAACTTAAGAAAAAATTAAAAACTAAAAACTTAAGAACATAAAATAGGAGTAATTTACATTGACAAAGCAATCATGAAAGAAGACTCGAAGGAGAGATGCTCCCATGCGAGGTTCTTTAGCCACAGCAGATTGAACAACAGATTTTACAGCGTTAAAAACCTTTGGACACTTCTTAACATAGAAGTTCTCAGAGAGTTGAGCCGAAGAACTCCCTGCAAGCAAAAGCATGAAAAAAGCTAAAGCAAACATGGCTGCTGAAGATGATGAGAAAGAAGAAGATGGAGAAGAAGAAAGTGCCATCTTGCTAAGTAAAGATTCAGAAGATGGATGCCTGGTCTAAGAAGGTATGCAAATACATTATATAGAGCGTGCGTGACACAAGAGGGAGTGTGTTGAGATGGCAACTCATGCTCAACCAATCACCAAATAATTAATTGACAAATAAGAGCTTTTGCTTTTGTGGGTTGAATTGATTGAATGAAAATTGTTAAAGTTAATAACATTTTACTTTTGTAATTTTGGAAACACAATGTTCCAGTGAAATGAACTTTGTGCAAACAGTTAGTTTCCATGCATGTGTCCTTATTATCGATATTGTAGGGTGGATCAATATTGTTCGGCTGTAGTGATCAAAGCACATATGCCGAGGTTGACTATTCAAAAGTTGGAAAAAGACAATGCTGTTTTGTTTATTATATTATTACAAAGAGAAATGCTACTTGTATTGTTCATAGATGTTAATATCAACAAGTAAATTAGTTACGGAAAAAGAGAAGAATATAATCAAATCTTAATCTCAATATGTTAATATCAACATATTGGCAAGTTCATCGATGATAAAGATGCCACGCATGCCTAGGCAAGGAGAATATTTTGAGGGGGAAATCTGTATCATTTTAAAATGATGTAAAATTATGTCATTTTAAGTGTGAGAAAAAGATAAAAAAAAAGTGAATAAAAAAATAAAAGTATAGATCTTACCTTTTTGTGAAAGTACAATAAAATAAATTGTATTATTTAAAAAAATAAATATCTTTTTCTATTTTCAGTGATGAGAATGTACTAGCACACGGTACATCATTTATCAAATATATATGATATAAAATAATTTATTTATACTACTTTTATTTTTATAATTTTATATATATATATATATATATATATATATATATATATATATATATATATATATTTATTTTGGTAAGCAAGTACTTCCTATGCACCGAAAATGTGGTCTTAGGCAAGAGAGGATGAGAGCTTGACAGCTGACAAGCCATAAAGTTAGCCAAATAGAATGCCTGCATTTAATTATAAGAATAAAAAAACCTTACTTTTATGTAGGCACAGTGTATTATTTGGATGTATCGTCATCATCATTATTTAATATTTATTTTATCAAAACATTATTGAAACTAGTGGCGGAGCTTCAATCAAAATGTTGAGGGTAGAAGTTCATCGAAAGATAATGAAGCTTTGATGCTTGTTTATGTTTGTTTATTGTTATTAGTATTCGCTATTTTCTGCTACAGTATTATTAAGAACTTGAGAATCATAATTTTGGGCTGCAAATTTAGATGCATGTATTAATATTTGGAACCTACTAAAATAAAAAAATGACTTATGATGAGATTTTTGAATTAATAATGTGTATATCTATTACACAAGGAGACAGATCTTTTATTTCAGTGTTTTAAAACATGTGAATCAAATAATATTGCCGTTGTTATTAGAAATATATTGTATAGTTTATCATATTATACCTTCAATCAAATTTTACATGCACCCTGATAGAAATAACCTAACACAATAATGTAAAGTTTAAGCTCTTCTAAAATTATTACATCAACGTCACTTTGAATATTTTTTGTACACCACACACCACTTTCCTTTTATAGGTATTTGTTATTGTAAAAAATTATTTCAACCCAAAATTTAAATTGTTGGATGAATCTTCATTAATAATTTTATATTGGCAGTACACGCCCAATATGGGAAGGAAGAAAAATTCTCCTATTATTTATACGCACACTTAGCTAAGCAGTATTTTTCAATCATGCATATGTGGTGTGTATTATTTCTTGGGAAAGGTAATTATATTTACAAATTTTTTGTTTACAAACTCTTACAAAATATAGTATGTCTGACCGGTCATACTTTAATCAAAAGTATATGACTGGTCATATTTAGTGTAATTTATAAAAAAAAAGTTTGTAAACGTATCATTCGTCTTATTTCTTTACTTTTCTTCATCTCTTTGTAGATGTATTTTATTTTATTTTATTTTGGAAATATTTATCATGTCTTCCATCCTTTTACTGTTTGATGTTAATCATGTTCTCTCTCTTTTTCTTTTTCTTTTTTGTATTTTAATCAACACTATTCTTTTTTCTTTTTTTTTGGAAAACAATCAACACTAATCTTTTGTGCTTTGTTACGAATCCTAATAATTTGGTCTTCTCATGGTGCACAAATGGAATAAAACTTCAAATCATGAAACAAAAATAAGACAAGCAAAGAAAGAGATATTATTTAGAGTTATGCGAGCTAGGGGTGTTCATCAACCGATCTAAACCGATTCAAACCGCGGTGACCGAACCGAAAAACTGATAACCGAATAAACCGAAAACTGAAAAACCGAAAACCGATTAAAAACCACAAATTTTAATTGGATTGGATCGATTTTTGGATGGGTTGATGAAAATCGATCCAATCCAAACCGATCCAATATATTGATTTTCCTCTACCTACTTGGGTCTTTCCCTAATCATAACCTAAAAATTTCTAAACCCAAGACTCATTAACCCATCAACTAACCCCAAGAAAAAATCTAGTCACATCTCATCAACAAAATTTTATCTTTATAGAGCTTCTTATCTCATTGCCAAAAAAAAACTATATTATAGTTTATTAATGTTTTGTATTTAAAAAAAATACATTTACGAAGCCAATATATACAAAAGATATTATTTGCACAATAATCATGAAATAAATTTTAGGATTTTCCAAAAATCGAAAAACGATCCAATCTAAATCGAAAAAAATTAGATCAGATCAGATTGGATTTGAAAAAAAAATCAAAACCGAAAGGGTTGGATTGGATGATTTTTGCTTCCAAAATCGATCCAATCCAGACCGCGAACACCCCTAATGCGAGCTACACGGAAAAAGCAACTGATCGAATGGTATTCATAGTCACGATTTCTTTTCATAATTTTTTTAAGCTTTAATATTTTTACGGTTAAATAAGTTATCTACATAATTCGCTTCTAAAATGACGTCGTTTTGAATTGAAAAATTAAAAAATTATAATGAAAAAGACTATTATAATCTGAAATAAATTATAATTACAAAATTAACTTGATTTTTGTCTCAAAAATATATTAGACTCAATGTAAATAAATTATCTATATTGAATATAGAAAAAACGAGCCTTTCTTCGTCAAAGATTTAAAATTAATAATTCAGTATTTTTTTTATGTGAAACTATTATATGAATCGTAATTATGTACATTTCCTTAGATATAACGTATCGTCCACGTAGTGTCATCATTAACATCTATTAACAAAAAATTACGAAATTAACAAAATAAAGCATATATAATATGTAGGAACTCAGACTCTCTCCAAAGTTACATTATTAGATTAAAAATATATATATATATTTAATTTGGGAAAATACTATTCTCATTTTACATGAGATAACTATCTCATATTCTTTCATTTCGAAAATTACATCTTTTTTTTTTCTTTTTAATGGTTGGCCTCACTTGGATTCTCTCTATAGCATGAGAGAACTACTCTTATGTAATATGAGAATAATATTTCCTTTTTTTTTTTTGGTAGATAATAATATTTCCCTTTAATTTGTGATAAACTATATGTAAACTTTTAATTGAAGAATGCAAAATAAATTATCTTCTTTTTTTTATTAAGTAGGCAACGATATTTTATAAGATTTCAAGTATTTATCTTTTCACTCAAAATTAAGTTAGAAGTAATACATAAATAAAAAATAAAAGGTTTTATGTACCCAAAAAAAAAGGTGGACATAAATAAAAATAGATCGCTTCTATATATATTTTCCTCACCTTTTCCGTTACCACTTACCATCATGAAACTTTAATCTAATTTCATTAATGAGCAAAATTAGAAAAGATATATAGTCCTCTTTCATTGGCTAAAACGCACTGGATGTACACAACGTTGCTTAATTACACTAATCTCCCTTTGATAGCTCATATACTTGCCAAATGATTGAGTGTCGGCTGAAAAAGCCGCCAACCTCATCCATAAGTTCAAGTTGAAGACAGTGACCAGTTCTTTTAGGAGGCATTATTATATACATAGCTAGCGATTAATGTTTGTTATATTGTAGCACATCATTTTATCTTTTTGTATATGTATAAAAATATACGAGACTCATATGAAAAGAAAAGAAAAGAAAAATATAAATTTTATATACATATAAAAGATAAAATTATCTCTTATTACATGATAAACATAAATCCTATATCCTAGACAAACATAAATCCTATATTTATATATGGAAAAAATATTTATTTTTTAAATGACACAATTTGTATCATTTTATTCTCACAAAGAGGTGAGATTCACACTTTTCTATTTTTTTTTGTCCATTCTTTCTTTCCATGACACACAACTTTACATCTTTAATTTATTTTTTTTTACTCTTTTCTCACTTAAAATGACACAATTTTACATTCTTTAAAATGACACACACTTTTTCCTTTATATATGTTATCAAGTATATACTTTTCGGTTACAAAAAGTCATCACAGTGGAGCCCTGGGGTTAAATGTTATGGGTATTTTTCCCACCCAAAGAACATTAGTTAGCCATCAAAATAATATGTAATTTATTGAAATTTCCTATCTTTCAATTCAGAAGAAAAAATTTGGCATGCAATTCCCGTCAAAGAAAGGTAATACAAAATGATTGCAAGTCTTGACTCTAAGGTAAGGTAGCTATAGCGTAGACTGCATAATCAACATCGCATTTTTTTTGGTGGAGACAAATTTGCATACATTGTACGTATCTTAGCACATATAATTGCACTTACATCATTATTGTATTTGTATGTATAACAGTTGTGCAGCAAAAATTATTGTCGATTCTATTGATTAATATTGTACTTCACTCAAACTTTGATATTAGTCTAATATTTGAGATACTTTGCTAATAAAACCAATGTCATCACTTGATTTGAAACAATATCTGAGAAGCTGTTAATATACTAATCTTGGTATTTTTTTTCTTTTGACTTTATCAAAGCGGGAATAGCTTAGGATCCACATGTCCAACCTT